TAATCAAGGCTTTGACCACATGCATTACTTAAGAGAGCTGCTGTGCGTGTCTCTATCCAGGGTGCTGATATTCAACTGGAAGGGCCTAGCTAGGCCCAGTTGGAATATGAAGGTTTGCATATTCTGTTATTTCTGACATAAATACTTCCTTTTCCTCCAGGATCTCAGCAAGTCACATTTATTAAGTTAAATTCAGCTAGTTTAAGTTCATTAAGCTGACTTTGTTAGGCAGAAGAAAATTGTAAACTCTTAGTAAACAGAGCCTGAGAATTAAGAGATGTGGGTTTTTCTACCGCCTTCCTCTCATCATTGATTGATTGTGGGCAAGTGACCGTATCTTTCTAGGCTTTGAGTTGAGTACCTGGGTAAGTAATATTTAGCAAACTTTAGGTGAATCACCTGTGTGTGGTTAGTACATTCTCTTTAGTCCTCTCAAAACTCTGTGAAATGGTATGATAATTCTCATTTTATACATGAGAAATCAGAGCTTAGAAAGGTAAAGTAATTTTCTCAAGGCCATTCATCAAGCAAGCAGCATGGCCTGGTTAGGGAGTTCAACAGGTTCACGGGGAGACCCATGGCCGAGATGAGATCAAGAGTTTCTTCCATCTACTTCCTCATGTTTCTTTGAAAACCAGAATGTCTATAACACACAGTGCATATATATATTTTAACTTATTTGTTGTTTTTGATTAAGTTTCACACTGTCTAACCCAAGTTTAAGTCTAAATTTCTCATAAGACTCATTATTCTATTTGTCTGATTGTTTAAAGTTCTCTTAAAGAGGCAGAGGTGCCCAAGGAGAAATTTCTAGTTTATCAGTGAGCGGTCTCCACTCCTCAGAAGGCCTGCCCCACCTGCTCCTTGGTCAGTGGATACCATGCCATCACACTACTTGGAACATGAGAGCTCTTCCAAGAGACATAGCCACGGAACAGACACATGCAGTGAGACAGTCTGGATGGAGCCAACCTTTGGCACCTGGCTCTGGTCCTTCACCCTATTGTGCTGACATGTGTGATGGTGTATGACGTATGAGCTCAGCTGCCTGTTTCCTGTGGTGGTGATGGTTAGGTGCTGTGGAGTTGGTTCCAACTTGGAACAATCAAGTATAGAGTTTCTGAGGCTGTAAATCTTTATGGGAGTAGAAAGCCTCATCTTTCTCCCTGATGGAACAGCTGGTAGTTTTGAACTGCTGGCCTTGAGGTTAGCAGCCCAACTCATAACCTCTATGCTACCAGAGCTCCTTTAAAAAAATTTTTTTTATTTACTTAAAGTTTTTTGTTTTAAAGTTTTTATTGAGACTTATGTGATCATTTACATGGGAGAACATTAGCTTTACATTCATCCTATCATACTTTGTTTCACTGTCATGATTACAATCCCCTCCATGCATCATCAACCAACCAAAGGGTACACCCTGAAAGCCTGCTCCCTGGCCATCAGCACACAGTCTCTCTCCCTTCCTGAGTCCAGAGTCCCCAGCCACTCCATCTCCCAACGTCATTGTCTCTACCTCCATCTCTGGCATCACTGTTTCTCTGTGTAGGGTCCCATACTCTGCTCTTCTCCCTTGATGGTCCCAGAGACCTCCACTCCTGGCCTGAAAAGTCAACCACTCCCCTCCTTTTGCCACAAAATGTCTACCTTTACATTTCCAACCCTCATAGTCAGTCCTGATAGCAATGATTCATTATTGAACCACAAGAGTCTTATCCCCATCTCCTTTCATCAATCCCATCCAGACAGGTTGGAAACCACTCAGTGGAGATTCTAACTTCCCCCACACCCTCTGGAACCAAGCAGAGCTCGTTTTATATGAACATAACTAGAGTTATCTGTCAAGTTATGTGATCTCTGAAAGTGGTCTTCGCATTTAGTTCACCAAATGACAGTGAGGCGCTAGCTATCAGGCCCATTTAACTAACAGGTGAGCTGACAGGACACTGAAGAAGTTTACCTAAGAAGTTTACCTAAGTTATCAAGAAACTGGAAACCCACAGTGCTTTCAAGTATAAACACTGAACTCCTTGTAGCACAAAACAAACAATTGGTGTTCATTCAACTTCAACTCTTGACAACTCTATTGATGCCACAGTAAAACAGTGCTCTGTAGGACTTTCAAAGGCTGATGTTTCAGAAGTAGATCACCAGGACTTTCTTCAGAGGCACCTGGGGGTAGACTGAAGCCTCCAACTCTTCAGTTAGCAGTTGAACATGCCCAGGGATTCCAGTAATAAAGAAATTGCTCTATAAAGTATTTGCCCCAAATGCTCTGTTTCCTCTGGTCCAGCTGGACTCAACTGCTAGTACTCCTTTTCACTGTTTATTTTCTTGCTCAAGAAGCCCTGGTGGTACAGCAGGTTAAGCATTGGGCTGCTAACTGAAGGTCAGCCCCTCGGAGGGAGAAAGATGAGGCTCTCTGCTCCTATAAAGACTGACAGTTTCAGAAACCCTATGAACACCTCTACTCTGTCCTATGCTGTTGTTAGGGGTTCTCAAATTGGTTTGGACTTATAGCGATCCTGTATAAACTTCCCAAGGAGCAACTGGTGGGTTTGAACCATCAACTTATGGTTAACAGTTCGGTGCTTATCCTATAGTACCACACCATACGGTTGCTATACATCAAAACCGGCTCAGTGGCAATGGGTTGTTGCTTAACTCAAGGAGCCCTGGCTGTGAAGTGGTTAAGTGCTCCACTGCCAGCCAAAAGGCTACTGGTTCAAACCCACCAAACACTCCATAGGAGAAAAGACCTGTCATTTCTCTCCCTGATAGATTTCAGACTAGGGAACCTTATGGGGCCATTCCACTCTGTCCTACAGGGCCGAAGTCAGAATCGTCAGCAAAAACAGCATTGTGGAATTAAAAAACTCACACTTGCTTTTTCCTGTATCCAAGTTCTATAAACAGTAACTTGTGCTTTCTTGATACCTGTCTTCCTTTAGTTTTTCACTGATTACTTTTTCAAGTTACTATATATCTTGTTGTTGTTAAGTGCCGTTGGTTTGGTTCCAATTAATAGCAACCCTGTATAGAGTGTCTTAGGAGCTGCTGGTGGTCTTGAACTGCCGACCCTGCAGTTCAAACTACCTTACAGTCCAACCATCAGTTGGAATTGACTCCCAGCACATAACAACAACAAAACAACAACTCCTGGGAAACCCTATACAGGGTTACTATGAATCAGTATGGTATAACCACCACCAGT